GATTCGTCCCAGACCTGCAGCACTATGCGGTCCCACCAGTCCGTGCTTGTTTCCCGTGCCCAGAATCGCCGTTCCACAACATCCACATGACCCATTGTCACCGTGATGTCCTCGGTGCGGGGTCCCGTGCTTTCTGACAGGTCTGTGCTACTCTCAGACTTCAGGCCCTCACCGCGGTGCCGTAGCCTCCTCGCCTGGTTTATCTGCATCTGCCTCTGGGAAAGGTGGATGATAACCTGCGAGGCGTTGACAAGGGCCACAACTGCAGCGATGGTCGCAGCGGGATCCATGCTCGCAGTGCTGTGGTGTCCGCGCTGTCACTGACCCGAAAAGTGCGCGAACTGATTTCCCGCCGGCGCTTTCAGGGAGGGAGGGAGGGCGGTAGTGACAGACAGATGACGACAATTACCCAAAAGCATCCTCGACCCTTTTTTTTACCCAGAAGGCATTGGCGGCTCGACCCAGAATTCCAATGGGCAGCGGGGACTGCGGGAACTGTGGGATAGCTGCCCACAGTGCACCGCTTCCAATGTCGACGCTTTCCCCGTTAGTGTGGACTCACAAAGTCGAATTACTGTCCTTAGTGTGGACACACAAGTTCGACTTTGCAATATCGGTTCCACATATTTGATTTAAGTGAAATCGAAATACCCTCGTAGTGTAGACATACCCTAAGAAACAGTCTTTCAAGTTAGAGTGCCCAAGAGTTTTCATTAAATAAATGGCAGTGGTAGAGGGATGTCTTCAAAATGCAGAATCTGTACTCTACCCCAACTTGTTAGTGTGAACATTATGCACAAAAAAAGTGTTAAAATGTCAGACTTCAAAATGAACATTAGTTTCTTAGCTCACCATTGCATGAAGGTATTGCAGTAACTACTTGTGTGTGGTCCAGTGTGGAAGATTGTAGCTCCTGCAGGACCTAAGTACAACAGGATGAACTGAAATGGAAGGACATCTTTCACTTTGAATCTCCTTATTTCTGTGGTTTCTTAAACATGTATTGCCAAATTTTCAGCAGATTTTTATAATTGCAATAATTAACTGGGAGTATTTGTAGGAGCACATTTTTCTCAGAAAAAATCCCACATTTACACATGCATATAGGCAGTTGGTCATGCCATCTAAGCAGCTAAGTGTTCAGTTACTCAGCTTGTGCATGCAAGTTCAATCTGTGCAAACCAAAAGGCCTGCAAATATTGCACCTGGCATTAAGGAGTCCTGCTGCATTTTTGGCAACGTCAGGTGTTTAACATTTTGGCTTTCTTCCTGTTGGGTTTTTGTTTGTTTGTTTGTTTTGCTGATTTATTAACTCAAGTCCCATGTCAATGTGCTGCTATAAAAAATAATAAAAAAGTATATTGACATCCGAAGATCGGAGTCATTGAGGTATAGAAGTTAGAGATGGAAAAGACCTATATGATCATTCATTCTCTTCCTCTACCAGCTCCCTCTAGTACCTCTACTCACTCTAATATAGGTTACTGACATGTCTAAAGTACCCTATCATTCTAAAATACAGGTGCATTTCTGCTTATTTTAAGCTCTAACTAGCTAGATAGAGTTTTTTTTAAGACCTGATTGATATATCATGAAAGACTTTGAAAACTATTCTGTTTGTTACATAATTGTCTCTCTTTGCAACAGTCCATACCTTCACCTGCTCCTGTTGCCCTTTCCCACATGCTCCTCTGTTTATTTCTTCAGAGTTGGTTGCTGTGGAAATTCTGATGGTACAAACATAGGCACCAACTTCCCCTCTTTCCTGTGGGTGCTTGACCCCCCCCCCCCGACCTGCCCCCACTCCACCCCTTCCATGAGGCCCTGCCCTTGCCCCACCTCTTCCCATCCCTTCCCCAAAGTTTCCGCCCCAACTCCACCCCCTGCCTGCCAATATTCCAACTCCTTCCCCAGATCCCTGCCCTGGCCCTGCCTCTTCCCTGCTTCCTCCCCTGAGCACACCACATTCCTGCGCCGCCTCCCCTCCACCCTCCCAGATCATGCTAATGCTGCCAAACAGTTGTTGTTTGGCGGTGGCCAGGCAGGAAACACTGAGAGGTAGGCAGAGGAGTGGGGATGCGGCGCGCTCAGGGGCGGAGGAGGAGGTGGGGCGAGGGGTGCTGGTGGGTGCAGAGAACCCACTAATTTTTCCCTGTGGGTGCTCCAGCCCCGGAGCACCCACGGAGTCAGCATCTATGGGTACAAATAGAGAAAGAACAAAGCAGAAAATGAGATATGGACAGAATTACTTTTCAATAAAATGGTTTCAGTTTCCTTTTTTCCAGTTTTCTGGGAGGCATCAGCTGGTCTTTAAAGGCACCAGTTCACATTGCAGACCCAATGTCTGCAAAGAATGCTTCCATGATACCTTGCAAAACATTGTAGCATTTAAAGCTAAACTTGTCAAAAAAGCATCTGAAACCACACCGTCTATTTTTGACAGCTCTGGACTATTAAAGCATCAATTTAAATCCTGTTTAAGAAAATTTTTTGCATCTGGCTGATATTTTGCATGCCACATTTCATTCCAAGGAGATTCTAATGAGCAAGTGACAATGTATTGGTACACTACATAATGAAAGTGCCAAGTGACCCTCCATACCGAACACAATGCTATAATTCCGAAATTCTGTTTCCCATTCTGTTGTTCAGGATTAAGTGAGATAGTCAGTTAACATTCTCATAAATCAGAACATAGCAGCTTTTCTGTGACGGTTTTAAGATGGTAAATTGTTCCTAGGGACAGTTTTGTTTTTGTAGTTTGTGTTTTTGCATTAACAAGGTGTGGTGTGTTAAGTGCTGAGTACTGCTGTCAGTATATGACCAGTTAAATGGCTTCTATGAGGTAGGTAAAGATCCAAAATATCCTTTGGTTTGTGTGATCCAGTAACTGGCAGTAAGGAGATATTTGCTTTAAAGTGTACATGTTTGTTACGGATGCCTTCTCTGCCAGTATTCTCCATTATTTGAATTACATCTTGTTTTTTAGCCTGATTCTTATGCAGCATTTTATATTAGTTGTATATAAGAACATATGCTTCAGTAATGTTAAAAATTTGTTTAATCTTCTCTTGTATCTGGGAATTTTTATCTCCATATATGCTAATCTTTTTAAGCTGATAGAAATGCAGAAGTACTTACTAAATGCAGTTAAGAAAACTGGAAGTTGTGGTGAAAATTAGCTGTTTTTATATTGAATAGCAAGGGATGAGAGTTAGGATTTTGGAGAAAGTTGTTCTGTGTCTGTATCCAGTGTATAAGAGCTCCATAGCAAAACTGCCTGCATGAGATGTTCCATAGGCTGACAAACATTATCTCAGATAAATATTCCTAATATGAGTCACGGGACGATTTTGGCACTCCATGTCAGTGAATTTGGCTCTAGAAAAGTTGGTCAGAATGCACAACTGGTCCAAACTAACTTCCAACAGTAGGGTAGAAATGACTGTTGGAAATCAAAGGCAGATCAAGTCTTTTCTGTCATATAACATATTGCAGGAACGATAAGGAAAATATTCCGTTCATGTCACACTGATTCAATTTGGTTCAAGTTTTAATTTAATAAAAGCACACCCTTTGTCTCACTAATCATAGACTGGTACTGGTAAAGACGATACTAGATAGATTTTCAAAAGAAAAGCACAATGAAGTGGTTGCAAATATGTACATTTCCATGTGAAAATCAAGTAAGTGTGGGTCTGGCAATTTGGTTGAATGTATCCTGTATGAGCATTTTTTGGCCATACCTGCTCCACCCATGTTAAAAATGTGGTTGTAAAGGCCCACAGTATTTGCTAAGAAGGGGCATTAATACCTGCTTACTTTTTCCTGACTGAACTTCCAAGATAATATTGTCTGTTTAGTTATCTTGTCATTTTAAGACTTAATATTCTACACTTGTATTTGGAATAATGAGTCCTGAGGGGAATTAGAAAAATTACAGTACACCTCTACCCCGATATAACGCAACCTGGTATAACACGAATTAGGATATAACGCGGTAAAGCAGCGCTCCGGGCGGGCGGGGCTGTACACTCCGGTGGATCAAAGCAAGTGCGATAGAACGCGGTTTCACCTATAACGCAGTAAGATTTTTTTGGCTCCCGAGGACAGCCTTATATTGGGGTAGAGGTGTATTTATTAAGGGGTCAATTAAATTCATAATTTTACTTTTAACTTGTATACAAAGTCCAGTAGGACAACTGAATTTGGGTTCTTCCCTTGAAAAGTAAGAATGCCCACTTACAATATCCACAGTCTCTTGGAGGCCTTTTGAGTTACGTGCTACAGTTACTGAGCCATCATTCTCCAAGTGACAAACATCACAGCATCCATCAGATCCTGCCGTATGTTTTACTAAAAACAATCTCAGATTTCTTGTACACTTTAAAATTGAATCTGTGTCCCCAGTGCAATAAATTTCCAACACTGAGGGCCTTCATCCGAGTTGACTTGAAAAAACTAGAATAATAAAATCTCTGCTTCTTCTAGTCTGACCTATCCAAATCACCCAAGGATAGAAACAAGTCCATCTTATTCCAGCAACCCAAAATGTGTCTGCAAGATCAAGCATTAAATGTTTCTAGGTGGCTTCAGAAAACCATTCCATGGTAAACATAGCATGTTCTTTGACAGCTCATTTCACCAGAGGGTAGGCAGGCTAGAACAGAACAAGAGAACTCTCCACACCTGCCTTGGGTGAAGCAGCTTCTCCCTGTACACTAATTTCAGGGAAGGATTAATGAAAGATAGAAACTACATTATATGTACAATCTTATCAACCTGGCAGGTGGGCTGAAAGCTATGCTTATGTATTCTTTTCATAGAGCATCTCCTAGTATAGATTGCACTATTGTCTTAATGGAGTTACTAGAGGTTGCCAAGATCTTGCAGTGAGTGCACCGATCAGGTTTACCTGGGAATGAGAGAGGACCAGGACCTAAAATACTCATTTTTGTACCTTTCTGTCATTAACCCATTTAATTCTTTTTTCTAAACAGAATGAAGACGGATTAATGGAGTTCTTTGAAAGTGTAGTGAGACAGACACAGATGAATCCAAAGAAAGTGATTGGCTGGATTCTAAATGATATGCTTGGTTATTTAAAACAACACAACCTTAAAGTCAAGGAAAGGTGAAGCTTTCTGATTATATTGAGTTGATCAAACAGAACCATCCGTCTTCCCATGGCCAGACAAACAATTGTGAATAGTATCCCCTAACACCAGCAGTGACTCCTAGTTTAGTGCAATGTAAACTCCATGGTGGGTGGACAACAAAGGTCCGAATAGTCACCACTTCTTTTGGGAGCCTAGACCTGTAAGGTGTCTTGGTGAACCAAGTCTATTCCATACCCTCCAGAAATGGGAAATCTTTAATCACTATCGATTGTAATCCATGGATTTCCATTTTTATCATATTAAAATGGCAAAACCTGCTACTCTTCTGACCAAAAATAAATTACATTTTTAAAAGTTGTATTGACCCAGTGTACCACTAGGCAACAAGGTAACTAGTTTGCTTTCAATTATAATTAATCTTTGTTTAAATGATTGTATGTCACTTATACAAATGACCATGCACCATGTAGAGATGTTAAGATTATGTTGTGTATGGTGTTTTTTTGTTTTTTTTGAGAGCTCTCACCTCACCTTATTTTTTTAATTTAGTCCAGTCAGTTCTCTCTTCCTGGCTGACCTTCTAAACCTTCTAGAGAGAGGAACAATTTCTTCTTCAGCAGCCAAACAAGTGAGTTTGTTTTGGACTTACCTTTGAAACTGTCACTACTTACTTCATTTTCACAGCAAATCTCCATCTGGAATCCATATGACTTCCATGGTGTCGGTAAATTCATTTTATATTTAAAGCATGAAATATGTCAAACTGCTACTGGAGGTGGGAGGTATGTGTATATGTGTATAAAATTCAGGGTTAAATAGTAGAGAGGGGCCTGAAACCAATCCCTAACAAAGCCAAACATGCCTGAATTTTGGGCAATTTGGATTTGATGCCACTGACCAGTAACCTCTATAATCAAATCCCAAATTCTGAACACTCCTGTACTTTGGGAAGGTTAGAATTGACATCCATGTTTTAGTGGCTTGGTCCGGTCTCTGGTGAGTAGATTCTCTGATGCTTGGGAAACTTGCTGCTTCATGGTTCTTAATCATTTTAATAGGTGCTGCAGCTGTAAGAGGTCACAGATCCCACTGAATGGCAAAGGGCAAAACATAGCTGGGTTTGTAAGATAAATTTGTGTCAAGTGCCTTGTGAGACTGAAGGAGGAAGACTTGCCTCTTTGATAAGCCAATGACACTCTTTGCTGCATCTTAGCCAGGCACTCAAGACAGAGCCAACTATTTCCCCCCTCTTTTTTCAGATAGCTGGCTTGTTTAGGCCAGTCTCCCAAAACAAAGATGGGATCTAAGAAACTGTGCTAACCATACATTTGACATCAGGGAATATGTTAATGATCATTATTATAAATAATCCTAATAATTAATTTGTATTGAGGTAGTGCCTATGGATGCGAGCCCACTGTGCTAGGCACTGAACAAACACAAAACAAAGTGACAGTCCTCGCCCCAAGATTCTTACAACTTAAGTAGAAGACAAAACACATGGGGAGCACAAGGTAACAATGAGACAATGCCAGTTAACATGATAACTGTTATCAAGGTTTTTTTAGGCTTCATGGTGGAAGTGAGTTGAAAGGAGAGATTTTAGGACACTAGTGAAGTGACTCTGCACTTGTTTACAGTGAGTCTTTCTCATGCATGCTGGGCAGTGAGGGAGAAAGGATAAAGGTGCTTATTTGAAAAAGTTTAACAAATGGCTACTGAATGCTGACACTCTTGGCAGAGCAGAGGAAGGTGTTCATGTCACATTTGAAAACAGTGAGCATTTTTGCAGGGTTACTGGTAATCTGCAAAAAAAATTGCCTCAGCTTCTGCTGATCTTTCTGGAAAAGCTACTGGATATTTTTTTAGAAATACACTCCAAAATTCTAACATGGTGAGTACATTTTTGAATAATTTTATAACATTTATTTTTTCACCATTTTATATTTATTAAAAAAAAATTAAGATCTTTCATTCCCCTTCAAGATCTTCACTTGAGGTTTTCTGATCCCCTGTAAAGTTTCTTCCAACTCCAGCTAAATCCTGTAGTGACGAAAAAATATATCTGTGTATATATATTTGATCATACTTTAAAAAATAAACTGTAAAACTGTGTGGGGCACTGTGACTTTTGTTTGAGTGCAGAGCACCTATCATGTTTTAGGTCCTATGATAATATAATTAATAACTATTTGTCTCTTTAAACCTTGCAAGTTTATAGCTGTAGAATATTAAACAAACGCCACTGGATAAATACACTAGCTAGTTTTTTAAATTCTAAAATAGTCAACAGTGAAATTAAGACATTTAACTCACATAATGAGGTTCCAGGGTTAATGTTCTTAGATCAACAAGGGCAGATGTTTGCATATTCCTTCCACCTATTCTTTCATTCTAGCTACAGATTTGGAATGAAATTAGTGTCTATTCACTTTTGCATGTTTGTCTTTGCATCAAAAAATAGTTATAAAGAGGACAAGAGTTCTAAGTCTGGGTGCTTAAAGTTAAATTAAACTGGCCTGGTTTTTGGTGGAGCTGAGACGTCTCAGTTCGTAGTTAAGCCAGTCAGAATTGGGGTTGCTCATGGTGGTTGGAAATGGTCTTAAAACAATAAAAGTTTGTAATGGGCAGAAAACACTGAGAATACTTAGTGCATGTGGATATACAGAAATTCTGTGTACGTGATTTTTGAGAGCACCCATCAGCCTGATGCCTAAAACTTTGAAGATGACCTTCAGAGTTTATTTTTAGCTGTTTCCTTGTTGTGGTGTTTGTCAGAAAGTTAACGTTGTTTTAACGGAGCTTTTTTCATTTTAATTTATTTATACAGAGGCAGTTTTGACAAGATATAAAATTAGGAATTTCAGAGAGATTGCATCTTGTGCTTAATTACTAGCTCCTTGTAGTGTATGTATTGTGCTCTATGATCTGAATTCGGACACAGTAATAACTCTACTGTTTGCCCATCACTGAGCGATGCTATCAAACTTTGCCACATTTAGAAAAGTATTTGGTTGCCTAGATGTCAGAAGAACAACAAATGTTTATAACAGTTCCCTGCAGTAGGCAGAGAGATTGGATGCCCTGAGGGCAAAAAAGGCTGTATATACACACACAACAGCAGATGCACTGCAGCATTTGAGGTGGGTGGGAGGAATTTAACTGCAGTAGTGAAGACAGAGCCAACAAGAAAAGATGGAAGAGATTGATGGGATGAGCAAATAGTCATGCATATGCATATGCTTGTACTGCAGGAAGTGCCAACAGTTTAAATTTTTAAGAGGTCTGTGCTCATTCTCAGTTGTACAAGGCAATAAAATTCACATAGATAAAAACTGTGAACATTTATTAAATGTGGACGGTTACATGGTGGATATTGCATGTCAAAGAAGGGACACTGCTGTACAATGCTGTGTTATGTAATTATAGCACACAAACCAAACTTATCTTCAAAAATAGTGTGTGCACTAATCAGGGCTACCATTGCAGGCACATGGATTGACAAAATTTATTGTTTGCACAATGGTTTAGCTCATCTGCATAGCAATACTTTGACAGAACCTTTTGGCACTTCTACATATAGCAGATACCAGGGAGGTGACCACAGTGTATGAACCTAAGTTGAACAGGACCCTTTTACAATCATGATTGTAACAGCGCAGTCTGGGGAATCCGGAGCACCTGATCCAAAGTGCACAGCACTTGTTAGAAGCAAAGGCTTTTGGATAATTTGCAAACACAAAGACATTGCATTCTGGGAGGAGGAATGGATACAGGACGGGCCAGAATGGTGTAGCTGCAGTATTTGTACCCATACATGGAACAAGCGGTTGCAGACTGGTTTCAACTGAAAACCGTTTCCCAGGTGTGTCAACCAGCTTGCACATTCAACGTTGTAAAATGCTTAAAATGACACTTTTGTGGATGCAAGACTTGCAAGCTGTTACTAAATCATTCTGACCAATGGTTTGGTGCTAGGCATACGTGGCTAGATAGTCTGAATCAAACCTCAGCTAGAGTCTATAGTTGCCGCTATTGGGATTTCAGTAATGAAGGTAAGACTGAGAATTTCATTTTGGCATTGGAGACTTTATAATTAGGCCCCACTGTTCATGTTTAGCCAGTTTATAGCCTGGTTTGACCAGTGAGTGTGGATGAATTAAAATAATTTTACTCTGTTTTAGACTAGACTTTTATCTAGACTAGAACAACATTTAAAAAAAGAAAATGAGTGGGATGAGGCCAGTTTTTTGGCCTGTCAAATCTGTCTAGCTTTTTCTATAAACTATAATATCAGTCTAATAGGAAACCATGTTTGAATAGTATTGGTCTCTCAGCTGTGTATGTGTATAACAATGTAGATGGAAGGGCGGGGGGCAAAGGGGCCCTTAAACCCTTGAGGCTAATTCTCTCTGGCTGAGAAAAGCCTACAAGAGCCCAAGAAAAAGTAAATGGAGTAGAACTGCACTTCTGCATAACAGAACTGCACTTGATTATGCCTGCATGAATAAAATGCTTTCTGTTTAACTTCTGAATACTACTGTAATATATTACACGCAGTGTCCAAGGTTCCCCTTATAATGGACTAACCAATATAATTAATTAGCTTCTCCCTCCTTGACTTTCAGAAATAGCCCAAGGAGGATTTGTGTCCAAGTACTCCATAGAAGGAGCCAGTATTGTACTCAAGCAATAGAAGGATACTTTTTAAAGCTACAAAACCCAAACCGACATAGCTTGCTGTGTATATTTACAAGAGTAAATCCAGTCTCTTCCTGATCCCCCTAAGATAGTGTATAATGGGCAAAATCTCTCTGCGCCATGATATGCTTAGCATAGGAGATGAGACGGCTGTCAGGGGAACCAGTTATTGCTCCCTAATTCTCAAACTTCCCTAGCCCTGACTTAAGTTAGACCACTCAATGGGCTTCTCTTGGTAATTCTGCTTGGAGTAGAGGGTTTTGTTGTGTGTGTGTGTTTGCTTCAGTGCCCTCCTCCTTCCTGAGAAGCCTGGGAAAGGACTACGGTTTCAGATTTGCAGGTATGGTACATGCCAAACCTAAAATCAGTTTCTGCCCTTTTCTTAGAAAGATGTGGGTTCTTTGTTGGTTAGTTTCTATTTTGAGCAAGATCTCTAGGGAGTTCTTCTCTGAGCTAGTGTGTGCAAATTGCAAGTTGCACTTCCATGAGGTGTGACATGGAGTCACAATGCCTCAGGGGAGATCAGGGAGAATTACCTTCCAGAAAGCTTCCCGTCTGCTCCCTTGGGGAGGACTGAGCACCTGCTGATAGTAGGGAGGAAGCAACTGTGGGTGTTCCTTAAGTGAGCCCTCTGCATAGTTGAAGTGGACAAGGCCTCTGTCTGACTGTAGGAAAAAATTCAGCTTACCCAGGCTATTCCAGGTGTGTCTGCAGTGGTGCTAAGGAATGAACTGGAAGGGGGGGCATCTTGAGTTTTTGATAGGAATGGATTAACATATCACTTATGGTGGTTGTAACTCTGATTGGATATCAGTAATTTGATCTGTCTTTTCTGCTCTTCTCCCTCTCACAAGGAAAACACAAGACCTGCAATGTGGCTTCACGAGACAACTTTGTTGTTGTTCTCTCAAGGCCTCTGGCAAAACAAAAACAGTAAGATTCTATTGGCGAGAGAAGGAGGGGTTGGGGCATAGGAGGCAAATTTGAGTCGCACCTGGCTTGGAGTAGGTAGCGTCAATGCAGAGTTCTTAAAGTACCTGCCACAACTGTCACATCGTTTCATGCTGAAGGGCTTTCCTATTGGAGAAAAATCTATGAGAGGATTAAAATGTCATTGTATTTATTTTGTTTTTCATAAACCATCTTGCTGCACTACTAATTATTAAAATGGCTTTAAATTAGTGCTCCTTGCCCCAGCCTCCTCTTGATCCCACAGCAAATTTGTAGTGCTGCATTTTTGACATGGCATTCGTTTCCATCCTGGCACACTGGGGCGACCCAAACATACAATTATATCTTCAGGGCAGGATCAAGCAGAAGCAATTGTTTTAATAAGGGCTTTCTCTCTCACATCCCCCATGTCTGAAATAAGATCAGAGGAAATACAGAAAATGACTGCCCAAGGAAATTGCTTTTTTTATAAATGCTCTCTTCTCCCAAGTTTATTCCATGGTGATAGCCTTGCTACAAAGTAGGGGAACACATTCGTATTAGCTAGTAATTATTCCAGAAGCTTAGGTTTACCCAGCTATTCCTGGAGGTGAGAGATGGATGGGATAGGGCTGCCACATGGATTGTGATTTGCAATATTTTTCTTTTATTTTCTATTAAGCATCCTCACTCTCTCCCTCCTGTGGTTGTGATGGTCTGTAAATGAAATGAGTTACCTGGAATCTGTCTAGGCACAATAGTTGTCTAATTGTCAATTCTCTGCAGTGGCATTCTCTGTTGACCATGCATGTTGTAATTTCTTTTAGCAACACTCGTGTGAATAACAAGGGATTATTACACCACCTTCTTGTATGGCAATTTTACAGTAGGGGCACAAAGAGCATCACTGCAAAGCTACGTGATGTGCATATTGTGCTTCAGAATAAAGGGAGGGGACGTGGTGTGCACTGGATTATTGCACTCGACTTTAAGCTGTGTTCAGATAATAAATTAAACTGTTGCTTGATCTCCTCCTGGTGCTCTTGTGGGTGGGCAGGTTTTGCTCTGGAGAGGCACTAGCAAGTCAAGATTGAGATGTGTCCACAGAGCTGCATGGGAAAGTTTGTCAATCACATAAATGTTAACCCTTTGCTTTTATTCTGACTAAATTCACTCACACATTACTGCAGTGGAAAGTGTGAATACAACAGGCACTGATTCCCCTCCTCTACCTTTTTTGATGCTGCAGGTGCTTGAGGAATTGTGGAAGGGGGAGGGGAAGACCCCACTTCAAATTGTTAAAGAAAAGAAACTTGAACTGATCCAGGATCAGCAAGAGCTTGAACAGATCTGTCAGGCAGTGATGGAAGGACATCAGGAAGAGGTGATTAGAACAGGGGTGGGAACTGAATTACAGCAGCTTGGACATGGTGATAGTCTGTGATGCTAACGTCTGGCTCTGCATTTGTTTGTACATCTTCAAAGAGAAATGAAGGATTTATTAGTCTGGCTTGTCCAAGAAGCCAAGTCATTCTGACTATGCATAAAAGTGATAGTGCAAGAAAACAAGCACAGTAGAAGTCCTAGCCCTTTCAACTGTATGTGTGCAGAGAGCACTTTCATTAACCTGGCCTGGCAATTTTGATCAGTATAATGCCCAGATTTTTTTTTCCTTGTCAGTTTAGGAGATATCCAAGGTCAAAGAGATGAAATTAATATAACTGTGTGAAAACTCAGGGTATCTAATGAAGCCATTATTTATTCTACATGAATAATATTAGCTTTAAAGGAGATAGCATCAATGTTGGTAAGCCAAAAAGTTGGCTTTTATTGTATCTCTTTGCAAAGTCCATGTCTCTTCTCCCAAGAAATATATACTGACTAGCTAACCTCGTGAGCAATCTTACACTAACACAGCGTGTGTATGTCATAGAAGAAAGCTTTAAACATTTTGATTTCAAGATTCCAGAGATTTTCAGTTAGAAAAAGTAAACTTGTAAATTATGAAAGGGGGGCAAAATGGAGGGATAACCTTGACCACGTCCAATATTAGCTTTATAAAAAGGTGCTTTTGTATTCTCTCGAGTGGAAAAAAAAATGTAAAGGCAGGAATGAATGGCTTATTTTAAGTATAAACATTGTCTAGCTACATTTGCAGTTGGAAAAAAAAAGCCAACATCTTTTGAGAACAATACCACCCACGCCAAAGTCTCACTGGGAGACACTAACAGCTTTGCAAAGAGCTTTTGCTAAAGAAAATGAACTTGCAGTAGATCTGAATGACCTCCCGTATATTGACTCATTTGCAGTGGCTGATAAACATGCTTCTGATTTTCAGACTAGTACTGAAGCACAAGAGCAGAGAGCTAGAACTGTTCACCAGCACAAAAGCTGAAGGTCCATAACCACATGCCTGTTTCAATAATAATAATAATAATAATTTTGTAAGAATTTAATTCCTCCCTCAGCTTCCAGTGTTTTAGCAAAGCCAGCTGTGATAAAGCAGCCTTATTTTCCAGCTGCTTTCAGGTGATCGTTTTAGTAAAGAAGCTTTTAGGTCTGTGCTTTAAATTACCATAAGATCTTATCTTACAAAACAGGTAGTTGGGCTATTGCAAGAGAAAATGCCTTGCTTTTTAATAGTAGTTTATTTTTAAAAAAGGGAAACTAACACTCAAATATTGAGCAATTTATGAATTAATGCAATACCTAAACTTAATTGAACTTTCTAATTTAAGTAATTGCAAGCAGATAAAGATAGCAATGTGTCCTATCTATGCTGGGACATTTTTAGCCCACCTTAAATCTTCTCTATATTCAGATACAATAATAGGTGGATGTATTTGCAATTGGTGGAGCTGGTAGTTCATGTATTAATAAAGTTTAAGGCCAGTGGAGACTACCTAGTTTGACAACATGCATAAGTTAAGCTATAGAATTTCACCCAATACTTCCCACAATGCAGAGAATTATTTTTCCCCCTGCTACGTAAGTAAACATGATAGAGCTCAATAACTCATGGTTGAACTAGAATGTATCTTTTAGGAAGACCTCCTACCTGATTTAAGACAAAGTGATGGTGAATTTCATACTTCCCTTGTTAAACAGTTAGGTTTTTTTAACCATCATTTCTAGCTTAAACTTTTCTATTTTCAAATTGTGTATTTGCATGCACAAATGGGTCAATGGCTACCTGACTGGCCATGCAAGTGGCCAGTGCACAGTAATAGTGCAGGCCAATGGGCAAGCATTTTGGGGTCAGTCAGTGGGTCTAAAAAAAGAACCTGTCTGTCTCACTGGTAGTATTTTTATGATGAAAAAACATTTAATGCTTTGTTGCAAGAGATTCCTCCAAGTTATATCTGATATAAAAGTTTTAAAGGGTTAGTTCTAAAGTTTCTGCTCCAGTGAAAAATGCCAGGTCAGTGTTATTGAAATACAAGTGTCTCCACTTTAAAAGGGCACTGTCATAGTAGAGTTTTTAAAATAATTCTGAATTCAAATTAATACATTTAAATTTATTACTAATCAGTTGATATTGAACACTTTAAAATCTGTTTATTGGCTGCTATCTTACTTTTTGCATGTCACCCCATTAGGAAAAGTAAAATAGACAAGTCTTACTTTCAGGCAGTACTGCACTGTTTTGACTTGCAAACACTGCAAGGGGTTTCTTAAAAAAATGTTTTCCTTGGAATAAAAAATAATCATGAAACCAGTAATTCTATTGGGACTAAGGCCCTGATCCTGCAGTGACCTCTGCTCATCCAATGGGGCTCCAAGCAGTCCTAGGGTTCCAGCCACACACAGCCCTTGCAGAATCGAGGCCAAAAACTTACTTTAATACTAAATTATGGGCCTACATTAAGCTGGTGCTAAGGTTAGAAAATATGCATCTGTTTAGGAGGGAAAACGGAACATCTTCCATTATTCATGATAAATACTTTGTGCTCTTGTTTTCAAGGTTATGGAGATAAAGAAGGGAAACCAAAAAGTTCTGAATAAACTGATTGGACTGGTTCAAAGAACAACAAGAGGGCGAGTAGATCCTGTGCTGGTGAAACAAATATTAGAGAAGAGGCTGTCACAGTAACTTTCAGAGCAACTTGCACAGGTCCCTACAGAGGGAATGACTGGACATTCCCTGGACTTTGTACAGTTCAATTCCAGCCTGAGCTAGAAAAAGATACTGTGTAGTCTCAGCATGGAACAGAATTATTATTCCCTTTTGGTGGTTATTCAGGTAGTATCTTATTATACAGTCTTCCTTGAATGCTTCACCCTCTGTCAGGACAAAAGAAAAGATATTCAGTGCAAATGAATAGAAGAAACTAGTATTGAGTGCTGTTCATTTTTCCTGTAGCTGGTTTTGCACACATGAGAAAGGTAAGTGATTCAATACGTTACTGTTTGTCTGAATACTCTAGAACTTGTATCAGATGTATGTTGTGATACAGTATTGCCAGGTAGCAATGTTTTTCTGAAGGAATAGAAATTTACGCATTTTAGAGTGTGAAATGTAATGATGTGAACAGGTCACACCACCTACTCGCTCTACCAAACACCCAGTGGCAGCTCAGCCACTGCTGGCCACTCCCCCCACCTGTTAGGAGGGGGAAGTAGTTCCTCAGTGCTATCACTCCTCCCTTGCCTCTGCCAGAGGGAGGGAAAGGAGAAGAGACTGCCCAGCTGCCTTTCCTTCCTTCCTTCCAGCGATGATCTATCCTAAACCCAATCTCCCCCTGCTCCCCAGAGGCTAAATAGGCCCCTAAAACCAACTAAGGCAGCTGAAGCCCAGGCAGTCCTGTGCATTATGGAAAAATCCTGCTACTTCAAGAGCCTGTGCTATATGCAAATCTATAATAAATACTTGATAGGGCTGTGGACTGTGGTTTCTGGAGTTCAGAAGCCTCTTTTGATACTGCTAAATAATCCCTTCTAAAAACCACAATTACCCTCAAATTCAAAGATACTTCTGAAGGGTGGAATGCATGCACAGACCATACTAAGCTCTTAGGCACAGGTTTTTAAAGCTATTTACATGCTGCAGTGCTCAGTTTTGCAATGCCTAACTGATTTAGGCACTTAGTAGCCTAAATCCCATTGACTGTCAATGGGATTTTGACTCCGATGCCTAAATCCTTTTTGAAAATGAGATTTGGGCTCTTAAATACCGTTAAAAATCCGGGCTTAATTCAGCAAGGATGTAGCCCAGGCCTCTTCTGTGGAATCTAGTTATCCTCTTCAAGTTATGGAATTGCTAGTTCAGCCCTGCTCACTGGTACTTCATTCTTTGATTATCAGTGCTACTGTCTTTGACAGGGAAACATCTGAACAAACAAGCTCACAGTTTAAGCAGAAAAGAGGCAAAATGCAGGAGTTTTCAAATATATTTATTGAATAAAACGTGTACCCATTGTTCACATAAAAATAAGTTAGTTAAAAGGTTATGCAACTGACAAAAAGCATTAATGTTAGGTTGCCTGTTTTGTCTGAAAAGGATAAGATTTACTCTGAATTTTGCAATGACAGACGTTGACCTTTTAAAAAATTGTGCATTTAAACTGACATTCAAACAAAGGCTTTACTATCATTTTGTCACATCTGAGCAAAACCACCATTTTATCTTTTACTTAGTGGCACCTGTTTTGTTCCATGATGACTTTGTTCAGAGTGCTAAGTTTCAATCAATTTTACAAAACACATCCAGATAATAAATGGTTATGACACAAACCTCAATATACACTGAACTTTGAATTCGTTAGATTAATGCTCTGCCCTTAACTCCTGCCATTGTCGGAGGAAACAAAAGGCACAAGACTGAATTATGGACTGAGCATCTGCATAAAGTTTGAATTTTATGGGTCCATGTGTTTTAAGCCTATTCTTTACCTTTACAAACAAACAAACCAACCCTACCTTTTCCAGAAGGTTTTGTCCTCTTGTATTAATGCTTTTTGTTGGGCAGCTTTGGAGTGGGATGTTTGTTACACTTACCCCCTTACCTGAGAGAGAGTAGTAACTGCACTATACTTAAAATAGAAGGATCTCAGATACCATAGCAAGACTACTGTTGGTAAATACCTTTAATGGTTACCTGTTTTTAAAGCCATTTTGTTCTAGGCAATTACGTAATAGGGTAGAAAATAGCCTGTAATAATTCATGGACAAGTTCTATGAATATACAGCATTAGATCTTTAAGTTTAAAATAGCAATTACTATAACTCTCAACCTACTTTCAACGTTACCTGCCACACATACAATTGAGAACAAGGAAGGCAGCACATAAACTAGAAGTGGATAATTGTAACAAACTCTTCCCTTGTATTAGAAGCAGACAGAAGGACACAGGTTAAAAATCTTCAACCATATTATGACGAAGTAAATATTCACCCACGAAAGCTTATGCTCCAATATGTCTGTTAGTCTATAAGGTGCAACAGAACTCTGTCACTTTTTACAGATCCAGACTAACAGGGCTACCCCTCTGATACTTGAAACCATATTATGGACTCCTCACTTGCTCAATTTTTAAACCAACATTTTGCATAGGAACAAAAACTATTTTCAGGATGTTTCTTGACTGACAATCAAAAAGGCTAAGCTTTTTGAATCAGATCTTAATGTGTATGAAGTCCTTTGCATGCACATTAAGGTGCTGGCTATCATGTCTAAAGCAGTGTTAGCCGGGATGGAGGGGAGCTTAAGCTTCGACATGGCTGGCTACCATGGCTTCAAACACGTTATCCTGTTTGAGTGTTAAGTGCTTTTTGTTCACTTTCAGCTAACTTGATTGAGCTATCCTGCCTACACCCCAGCCTTTGTGCCCCTCTGAGCAGAACATAAAACATCCAGTTAAAAATGGCCAGAATGATTCTCCTGCTCCCTACCAAAAAGCTCAGGGCAAAGTCTAAACTCCCCAAAAGTTTGTCCCCTACAGAGAGACACAACTCCGCCACATGCTCAAGGAGTTAATCAACTATCGGACAAATATGAAACATAAGATGGGTGTTGTGGGGTGACGGTGCAGAGACTGTCTATGGAGTGAGGAATGTAGGGGGGCTGTCACAAGGCTTGTACAAAGGACAAAAACTAGGTCTTCCTTGAATTAAGGCTCAAGCTCTGCCCTTAACTCAGGTGTCAGTTTGCTACTGAAGCCCTCACTGAGCGGCTGCTTAGATGCCTGATGTGCTCCAACTGTTAGGCAGGGTAAGTTACAGACAGTTTCATCCAGATCCTCAGTGTTAATTTAGTACACAGCCTGTGTGAGAGAATTTCCTTTGGCCCTTCAGCTTACAGAGAGAAATTTCGCCAATGTATAAAAGTTGACACCATACACCGTCATTACAATCTCATCCAAATGGACAGAGAGGTAGTGTGGGCTCTTACCAGATAGAGTGTAAAAGCTTTTGGCAGGGGGCATTGATTATACGTGTGTAGCAGCAGTTATCCTGCATTTGGGGTTTGGAGGGAGAAACTGACAAAATGTTTTTTCTGGCATTGTGGGAGTAATGAGGAAAGACAACCTTTAGCTATCAGCCCTGGCTGCAAAGTTTCACAGCAGAGTTTAATTTGATCCATGTTATAGAGGTGTCTGATGGAAACTTTCATACAGGTTAGGTATTCTACTTGTGAACGTTAATGTAATTTGAACCCTTTCCCAGGACATTACACTAGAATGATATCACAGCAACTACTTAATCTTATTTCTGTGCTGAGCAGCCCTTTGTAATATACAGACTTTCACAGTCACTAACTGCAGCAGCAGCCTCTCATAGACTTATGGCCTTCGGTGTGTGCGGTATGTGTAAAGTGGCATCTCACTCTTGAACAAATACCCTCCTTCATTTTTTGTTTAAAGCTATAATCTCAGGGTGCTCAAGAAAGAAGACAGAGCAGCACATCAAAACTTTTGCCCTTTGCTGTATCTCCCTTGCATTGCTATTTTCATATGATTGACAGGAAGTTCATAACATTCTACTTCAAGAGAAAACCAAGTTACAGCAGCAAGCAGGTCACAATTGATCTTTTCAGATATAGCATGGGTCTGGGTGGCTGTACATTTTAAATGCCCAAGGTATAATTGTATTGTTAATGTTAGAAGTGAAGCAATATATATCAAAGCCACAGGTCCAGGCAAGCTGCACGGGATTCACCTTTGCCTCCCTACTCCTATGGCTAGTTGAGGGCTGATTTGGGCCCTGGTACAACAGCCTTAGGATAACTTCAAGTTGCACTTGGAAGGAGCTAAGGATTACTGAAGCAGCCCTCCCCTCTTCTCTTGTTGATGTCCTGGGGCAGGGGAAGTGGTTAGGAAGCAAAGAGTGGCCCTATACCAGCTAGGGATTCCCAGCTAAACCGTGAAGCTGATTTTTTTCTACCTGCTTTTTGAAACCCAAGTAGCACAAAAAAGGTAGAACAAGGCCAGAATGCAAGCAAAGTGTTCAACAGATTTTTTTTTTTAAAAAGGCAGCTCTCTCTCCCCATAATTGTGGGTTCAAATCACTGTCCTTGCAGACAGTAGCCTGATTCTGTCACTTTGGTGGAGAGTGGGGTATGCAATATTAAAGGAAAGCAAGTTTGAATGAGCAATATGCTGGTGCAGGCTCCCAGCAGGACTTTGCTAAAATTCTGCCACCAAACTCGCCAGGAAGGCTGAAGGTTCAAGCTTCTCTAAATTTATGAGGGCCAGAAACTTCTATGTGCGAATCTTTGCTTTAATTTAATCACAATACTCTGAGCTGGAGCTTTAAGGAAAACTAACTATTGCTGGAGTTGGTAAACTGAATGTCACTCTCACTGTTAACAGAGTTGTGTCCAGCAGCGATATGGCCTCTTGGCTCAAGCTGGAGCACTGAATGCTGAGACTTTAGTCTCTAAAGGCCACATCTTTCCATTAGAGAGGAGCTGGCATTCGGTGTGGGTGCTAGTCAAGCTGACAGAGTAGCATTTAGACAAAGTTTGATTAGACCTAGGTTTAACCCAGCTACATTATTTTTTGGCCTAGATCCACTTGGTTATTTTTAAGCAAATTGCAATAAAATATTAGTGATATCAAAAACACAAGTATACATGGCCACTTTAACTTTGGCAAAGAAAATTATTTTGTTCAGAAATGCAGCCTTTGCACAAAAGTTCTATAAAGGGTTTTAGGCCTTAATCCAGCTGCCACACAAACTGTTATAATCAATGAATAAAAAGATTTGCTCAGTAAGCAGTAATGACTTCCCAGCAGCCCTTAGAGGCCAGAGGATCAAAAACTCAATTAAAGTGCATATGTACTTGACACAGTAATACTCCTATTCATAAATGTCTTCAACCACTATACAATAACAAAACAAAAAATATGCTAGATCACATTTGGAAAAGCAGGACCTCCCTCAAAAAAAGTTATTAATCTGAGCTTTTGTAGCTAAATTAAATAGGCACCATAGCAATCTTAGGGTTTTGTGATGGCACCCATCACCACATTACTTGAAATCCAAAAACACATTAACAAGGGGTAAT